AGAGAGAGAGAGAGAGAGAGAGAGAGAGAGAGAGAGAGAGAGAGAGAAAGGAAAAACTGAGATTAATATTTTTTCGAATTATGAAATTTGCCTTTGCTGAGGAGTTATACAACCCTCAAAACACAGACCATCGCTGCTTGTAGTCATACCAGTAACATGCTGGTATGTTATCTGAATCCTGAGAAGCAGGAATGACTGATTTATTTCTGTATTTTAGAAGAATGCACAAAACCTGAATGACAATTAACTTTCATTGAGTACTTCCTCTATCAAAATTATTGCTCAGACCAGATCTATTCACCATCTTCCTTGACCCTGACCTTCACTGAAGAGCTAAGTAGGTCAATGACTATGCATATTCACAGGCTAAAACACTAAATTCAGACATTAATTAACTTCTGTGTACTACCATTTGTAATAAACAGAGTATTCAATAATTACCCTAGTCTCTATCCTGAGCCCACCTTTCCTTTTAGTGGGCACCTATCTGAGATAATTTCAAGCTACAAAGAGTTGCACTAGTACAAGCAATCCCCATTTATACCTTAGTTTACTCTAATACTTCAAATGTTAACATCTTAAATATTTATGCTTTTTCTCAATTTCTCTTTTTATTTCTTTGTGTCTTTGTCTGTTTCTCTCCATACATAGAGATATGTAAGTATATACTCATGTATATGAATTTCTTAATGTGTATAAATTTCTCAATGTACATAAATTTCTTAAACCACTTGAGAATGAGCTATAGGCATGTTTTTCTTCTGGAAATACTTCCTACAGAGATGGGGGAGAAAGAATACAAATATGGAATATGTTAAGAATTGAGGGGGCTAGTTGGTTAGCTCAGTTGTTTAAGCATCTGCACAGGCAAGCCCCGTTAGGCACAAAGGACCGTGGTTTGATTGCCCCCCCACCATCCCCCCCCCCCCCCGTCAAGTGCCTTAACAGACCTGCACTTAAGGCAGCCTGAGCCAGCCCCCCCCCAAAAAAATCCTTCTCAACTTTTAGGGCTGGACAAATAGCTCAGCAGATTAAAGCGCCCCAACCAGGCGCAGGGGCCAGAGGTTCCATCCCAGGGCCTGTCATGCTGGCCCCTCCTCCAGGGCGCACTGAGAGGGCAATTGAGACTGGGCATGGTGACATGCGCCTGTAATCCCAGCTCTAGGGAGGCTGTAAACATGAGAATTACTAGGAGTCCGACCTAGTAATGAGGCCCTGAACACCCTGTAGACCCTTCCCTAAAATACAGAAAAAAGAAAAAAAAAAAAAAAAAGAATTGAAGGGCCGGCTAGATAGTTCAGTGGTGTAAAGCATCTGTTAGGCAAACTTAGGAAAGCAGAGGTAAGAGGCTGGATCCCAGGCATCACATGCCTTGCCAGCCCTGCCCCCAGGTTGGACTGAGTGGGCTACAAAAAATCAAAAAAAAAAAAAAAAAAGAAAGAAAAGAATTGAAATCTTCTAAGTGAAGTAAAGTTCAAATCAGAGTTTTGTGTCCTTTTCTTTGTACTTTTTTTTTCGGGGGTGGGGGTGGTACTAGAGATCGAACTTGGGACCTTGCACTTGCCAGGCAGGTGCTTATGCTACTGAGCCATCTTCCCGGTCCTCTTTGTACTTTTTATAACTGTAAAGTTTTCTTCATGGGACAAAACCATTCTCACAGAGTGCAATTCAAAATACAGGAAGATCATAGCGATACAATCCTACGATCTATTTATAGACATTCAAATATGACCAATGTTTCTAACAAAGTCATTCTAGCACACTTTCTAATTTTGTGGTGGTGATCTTTGATATAATGTAGTATCATACATTTTATTTAGTTATTTATGTTCATGTTACTCAGTGTGATATGAATTCTTGATTTTCTTTGTCTTTCATGATCATGTTTTTTAAAAGTGTAGGCCACTCACTAAATTGTCCTGTACTTTGAGCCTGCCTTTTACAGCCCATGATAACATTAGTCTTACACATTTTTTCCAGGAGCACCACGAAACTGTCATTACCTTCTAAGTGCATTATTTTCAGGTAGCA